ATGTTTGGCACAGGGATAAGAAAATAGTCATAGAACCCTGTCATGTTGCTTTTACTCTGAAGAGTAACTTTGGAAGAAGGGTCCTTTTAATTCGTGTATATGTCTATAACATGCCAGTATGCTGTGTAACTTAATTCTTTGTCATCTGGTTGCTTTGATGTGTCAGTTGACTGTGGCGGTAGGGACGTAGCATCAGGAGAAAAACTCAGCACAGAACAAATCAGGGCAACAAGCGAAGTTTGCTTTTCAAAAGGCATTTTGGTGATTTGTCAGTACTGCAAGTGTACAAGCAAGAGATTAGAACAAATCCTGTCTGTCTTACATCTACATTGTTCAGTCTTGCATACATTCATTGATGAATTGTTTCTCTTACAGTAGTCAGAATCACATGTTGGGTGTTTTAAATAACATAAAATTCTAGTATCTCAGTAAATACGTGTTTAATGGCTTTGATCATGAAGGTATACAATAAACTGGTGACTTCTGGTTTTAAATTAATTGAATAAATCTGTGCCAGAGTTTTCATATCTTAATGGTTGTAACTCAAAACAGCATAAAGGAAAAAAAGTTCCTATTTTCATCCTTGCTAAGTATTTACTTAATGAAAGATTAAAAATTTTTAAAAAGCCATATATGCCAGCTGTAGCTTAACATATAGTATAAGAAAAGATAGATATCTGATAGATACTACAGTTTCAGATGTTGCTTTTAAAAACAGAAGTCAGGTGTGTGAATTAGAGCTTTTCAACTTAATTTGCTTTCTTTTCTCTGCCTTTAGCAAGATAAGGCTGGAGAAATAGTTCTTCATTATGTGACTTGATTTTTTTTTTCCCCAGCTTCCTATAAGAAAAGTTTTTTTTTGCATCCCGTGTGACTTTTCTTTAACTGGACAGAAGCGCACTCAGAAGCAATTTCCCTTATTTAAGCAGGGAGGTCTTGGGGTATTTTGTTTGTTAGTGATATTTCAGGTGGATTGGCTCTTTTTCTGGAATCCTTATGTAACTTTTTATATTTGAGTTACTTGTTTTTTGTATGTTTGAAAAACACTGGAATACAAAGCACTGCTAACCTCTTGTCTATTAATGAAGGCTGTAGATGAGATGAATGGGAAAGAGCTCAATGGGAAACAAATCTATGTTGGCCGGGCTCAGAAAAAGGTGGAAAGACAGACGGAGCTGAAGCGCAAGTTTGAACAAATGAAGCAGGACAGGATCACCAGATACCAGGTTCAGTTTTCATTCAAGAGGACTAACTTTATTCTATGATATTTTTAGATTTACCCAGACCACTTGCTTTCAAAAATAACTTGCCCTTTTTTTTTTAGGGTGTAAACCTTTATGTGAAAAATCTTGATGATGGGATTGATGATGAGCGTCTCCGAAAAGAATTCTCCCCATTTGGTACAATCACTAGTGCAAAGGTAAAGTAAAGTTTATAGATTGTGCTTGTCCTTTCTCTGAAAATGAACAGTGATCCTTCACCAAGGAAGAGTGATTTATTTTACTTACTAACAGATGTGACCCAGTCACTTACCACTGCTACTATACACTATATATGTGGACATCTGCTTTCTTGATTATTGTACCTCTCATGTTAAACACATACGATCATCCTTTCTTGAAATAAACTTGGGTACTGATGTTAATGTGAGAAAAGTGACATCTTTTCAGTGCAATAATGTGCTTATTATTACTTCACTAAGATTTTAATCTGCATTCAGTAAACAGTTAACTATTAAGCCATTATATTCCTTTTTGTAAATCAATTCGGTAAAACAAACCTGTGGTCTCACTTCTAGTAAGCTGAAAAAAGAAACTCATGTGAGTTGAGTAGATACGACATTCTCTTGTTTTAAAACTAAATTTTGTACTGACAGGTCATGATGGAAGGTGGCCGCAGCAAAGGGTTTGGATTTGTATGCTTTTCGTCACCAGAAGAAGCCACCAAAGCTGTCACAGAAATGAATGGTAGAATTGTGGCTACTAAACCATTATATGTAGCTCTAGCCCAGCGTAAAGAGGAGCGCCAAGCTCATCTCACCAACCAGTATATGCAGAGAATGGCAAGTGTAAGAGCAGTACCTAATCCTGTAATCAACCCTTACCAACCAGCACCTCCTTCAGGTTACTTCATGGCAGCTATCCCACAGGTATGTGTAGAGTTAAGTAACTGAATGTTTTGTACTGTGTATAAAATCTGTTTAGATTTAACAGTAAATATAACTTACTAGCATGTGTCCATAATTTCAGCATTCTAATTTCGTAGCAGAAAGGTGATGGACTGTTCAGCATGCCCTTCAAAGATAACAAAATTACACAGTGTTTTTATATTTGACAGACTCAGAACCGTGCTGCATACTATCCTACTAATCAACTCGCTCAACTTGCTAGACCTAGTCCTCGCTGGACTGCTCAGGGTGCCAGACCTCATCGTAAGTCACTTCTTCTTTACCTCTTTCCAGTGATTACGGTAAACTCCCATTGCATTTACCGTTGCACTTCTAAATACATTTTCATGGCATTACAGTATCAGTCTTCTCTTTGTCATGTTGGTGGTATTACCTCTGAACTCTTCTCACCATTCAGTGTTTCAGCATGTAACTTTATATATTTTCTCTAAAACATAGCATTCCAAAACATGCCTGGTGCTATCCGCCCAGCAGCACCCAGACCACCATTTAGTACCATGAGACCAGCTTCTTCACAAGTTCCACGAGTCATGTCAACACAGCGTGTTGGTGAGTTTCATTTATGTAAACTTTAAGTATTAGACTTCTTTTTTAATTTTGCTGATTCAGAATGATCTCTCAAAAGCATTCATAAGTTCAATATCACGTGGTAGCACTTCCCTCCTTTTCTGGCTCTTACTAAATGAGTAAGCTAGTATCACCTTCTAGTAGTTGCTTTAGATAGTGTCCCAGCAAAGACTCCTGCTGTGGTCCCATTTCTTTAGCGTGAAGCATTTCTTCTTTCAGTGTACATTTTAATAACACTGCGTGACAGCTTCTGCCATTTCTAAACATTGCTGTGGCAATTGTAGTAATAGGTTGCATGTAGAAATACTGAGGTGATAGAATTTTAGCTCTTATTATTTTGTCATATAATACTGTGAGCCAGTGTCATGTATACAGAATCTGCAATCACTGAATGACCCAGAATTGATTGTAATGGAGTCTTAATTCTCTCAGAATGTACTAGGCAGTAGTATTTTTTAGCTATCTACTTCATGAAAGTATCTTTTTTTAGGATGACTATTGATGTAAAGTGCTCAGGAAATAGCGTCCTTTGAGGTTAGAGTGAAATTAAATTAATACTCAACCAAAGTGAATGTTTTCTCACATCTTTTTTCAGTAGCATGTAAGAAAAGCAATTCATTAGTGAAGAGACTGGGAAGTAACATCCAGTAAATGTCAAGCTTTGAACCTTCAGATACAACCAGTGATGTGATGCTTGACAATATTACTGAGATGAATCTATAATACGATACCTAAATTAGGTATTCTGTTTGGGCTAGGGGTTTTTTTGTAATGTGTACAGTGTAGGCTAAATAAAAAAATTAATTACTCACAGAATTACGTTTTTTTTTTTTCAGCTAATACATCAACACAAACAATGGGTCCACGTCCTGCAGCAGCTGCTACTGCAGCTACTCCTGCTGTACGCACAGTACCACAATACAAATATGCTGCAGGTGTTCGTAATCCTCAGCAGCATCTTAATACACAGCCACAGGTTGCTATGCAGCAGGTATGTAATTTTAGGAACAGGTCCATGCTTCTGATGGTGTTTTTTGCAGAGGAAGGAGGGGGGCGCTTATGATTAAGAGTTGTCTTTGTTATTCTAGAATTTAGGCTCTGCATTGTGGCAGCAGAGTTGTAGCCTTGGGGTTTTAAGTATATTTCAAGTTCACCTGGGACAGGATGTGATCCTGTGTTACTTCATATTTTCCGGTTGCTTGATACCTTAGCCTAAATTCTCCTTGTGCTTGCCCCACAAGGGAGCGGTTGATACTAATCTCCAGCATTACCCAGCTCTAACAAGCACTATTTGATTAAATTGACTTAGTTGTAATTTCTTCCATGTTTCTGACAGTGTAGGTATTGTTTATGCTGAGTTGTGGAACAATGGATATTTGAAGCTGCACCTAATTAGGAACTAGAATATAATTTTGAAACGGTGTTAAATTAATTTGCAGCCCGCTGTCCATGTGCAAGGTCAGGAACCCTTGACTGCTTCCATGTTGGCTTCTGCCCCTCCACAAGAACAAAAGCAGATGTTAGGTATGTATGTGATACCTTTCTCTATGCCTTGTAGCAGGAGGACAGTCAAAGTACTCTTTCATCAATCTTAAAATGCAGAATAAATAGTTTTAGCAGTAGAACAAGGTATTTGTTTCCCTTTTGCCTTAAATCTAGGCTCTGTCAGATGAGATTTGTCACTCTGAGTAACTTTTTTCTCCTAGGTGAACGTCTATTTCCTCTCATTCAAAGCATGCACCCTACTCTGGCGGGTAAGATCACTGGTATGTTGTTGGAGATTGACAACTCTGAACTCCTCCACATGCTTGAGTCTCCTGAGTCTCTTCGTTCGAAGGTAGGTGGACTTTCGCCTTACACTAGTTTTATCAGCAATTAGGTCTACACTGATTTAACAGGTGTTTATGCTGGCACAGTGGAGTAGCAGCAGTGCAACAGTGGCCCAGGGTGAGAAGTTAGAATACCCTCTTTCAGAGGGTGTCAGTGGCTTACATGAGCATGAACTGGAACTGTAATGTTATCCTTTTCTTTTTTACAATGCAGGCGTTGTTCGTATGTATAATGTAAACTGTTTCATTAACTTAAATACACAGATATTGCTAAGCTTCCGTCATTGCTTTTTCTTTTTTACTTACCAGGTTGATGAAGCTGTAGCCGTACTACAAGCCCACCAAGCTAAAGAGGCTGCTCAAAAGGCAGTTAATAATCCCACTGGGGTTCCAAGTGTTTAATAAGTAAGTTTTCTGAGCACTGTAGTTTTATAGGTTGACTGGGGCAATAGTCCTTAGTCCATGGCTTTGTAAGCAGCATGCTTCCAGGCTCTGTATCATTCGCAGCCACAGAAAGTAGCAGCTATGGTCACAGTTGTAAACAAATGTTGTGCTCAATCCTGTTGTCCAGTTCTGTAGCTCTCGGTTAGAAAATTGCTACTGCCATGTCTTGCATATTTAGCTGGAATTAAAGCATTGTTTTTAACAGCATGTTTAGCTGGAATTAGTTCCAGGCATGCGTGCAAAAATGGGCAGTTCTGTCAAATGCTACTATTCATGTTGTTCAAGAGGAACTTGTGGAACTGAAATAAGCTTAAAACAATACTCCAACCCTATTTTTCCTTAGAAATGAAATAGCTTATTTACACTATAATTTGTATATACTTGCCAAAATCTAAGATTATACAGTAATTAAAAACTAAACTACATGTTATCTTGACTGCACATTTTGGTGACTTTAATGTCAATTAAAATACTGATTTTCTTTATTGCCATCTCTGGGGTTAGTATCTTAGTTTCGCATGAAAGGAAGAGGCAAAAGGTGGTATCCTTACAATTCTGAAAGGGGAAAATGTAGGCTTGAGGATGATACAGGAGCCTATTCCCTGTTCAGTCCAGTTAGGTTTTGCCAGTATATGAACTTACTTTTCACATTCATAGCTATCAGTTGAAGATGCCTGCTTTAACATTCGTTCACTTAAAGTTTTCTTTTTTCGTGGTCTTTTCATTTCTGCAACTTTCCTTTTGGAGGCAGAATTTGAGTCATGTTTTTTCCACGCTTCTTTCTTTTTCCATTATTTTTTTTGCTAGTGCCACTTTCACACTGGAGATAAACAAGTGCTGAATAAGTTGTCTGTCCTAAACTAAGATGCCTAAACTTTGAGACCATTACTCCGTATGCTCCATGATGTTTTAGTAATTGGAAATTGAAAATACTGCTAGTGTAGTTATTTGATGAGCCTTGGTATGTTGGCCTTAAGAGTAGAGGTGACCTGCAGCCAAGTTAGTTACAGTAACAACGTATTGTGCGTAGCCATTGTATGAGGCCGTGGTGTGCAGAGGACTGTTCTAGACTCAGTTTTGTCTTACCAAGTACCACAGGCATGGGATACTTTACTTCCATGTCTCTAAAAAGTGGAGGATACCTCTGATAACACTGCTTGTGAAGAACTTTGGTATGATTGACACCGTGAAAGCCCAAAGTGCTGTCGGGCTTACGGTTGCAGAAAGCATGTCAGAAAACATAAGATGCTGCTTTAATTTTAAAACCTAACAAACATTGTTTTTGTTTGCAGAAAGATCCGGGACTACAATCTAGAACTTCGCTTCACCGAAGAAAAAAAAAAATCTAAACATGGAAAAACTATTAAATATTGAGAAAAACATTGCAAAATATAAAATAAATAAAAAAAGGAAAGGAAACTTTGAAGCTTATGTACAGAGCAACGCCAGGGCTAGCAAAACAAATGCTAGTCCTAGATTACTTACTGATTTAAAATTTAAAAAAAAATAGTAAAATAAAAAATACAAATTAATGTTTTATAAACCCGGGGGAAAAGAGTTTTCAGCACAGTACAAAAATTTAAAGCATTCCTTTCTTTAATTTTGTAATTCTTTACTGTGGAAAAGCTCAGAATATCACCACTGTTTTAGTTGACAGTGAGAATTGATAGCTGAGCAAAGAAACGTAATTTGGATTATAAAATTCTTGGTTTAATAAAAATTCCTTAAACACTGACTTGTGATGGTTTCTTTTGTACAGTGTACTTCTGATGAGGTTGTTGTTCGGAATACCAAGTTAGACTCCCATTCCATAGTATGTTTTAGCAGTTTCTAGAGAAGATTAGCCTACAGTTAGCCACCTGTTACTGATAATACAAACTTAGGCATTAAAACAAATGAAAAGAGCAGCTAGATGCATATCTGTGTTTTAAATCCTTAATAGCATGGTGTCTGAGCTCTTGTTGTCTAATTAGAAATAGACCTTTAAATACCCTACCTTGAGATGATCAGTAAGAAATGTTATTATAAAAGGCCTGTGTTGGAATTGTGTAACGTACCAACACATGTTCCCATTAGACCACCTGCACGTGGTGTTCGTTCTCACAGGTTTTGGTGGAAGGAACAATCTCTGCATAGGTCTCCGGCTGTGTCTTTAGATGGCTAATGATCCCTGGGAGGAGGCAGAGTCGTGTGGATATAGGTGAGTGAGCAAGGATCGTCTGCAATAGTCAGTGTTGCAAAATTCCATTATTGTGAATGTATGAACACAAGGCATTCCTAGAACAAAACAGGTGAGGCTTCAGGTGGTAATGTATTAAAAATTGAATGTGTAGTAACCAAAATATCGTGCTTTATACACAGTGAAAATCCTGTGGACAGGACTGCTTAATCCCCGGAGTCGGGTATTTCTAATCCTGTGTTCCCTAACAAGTGAATGGCTAGTGTTAGCTGCTGCTTTTTCCTCTGTTAGTAAGAGACCAATTGTTTACTTTTAGCTTTGCTACATTTTGGGGTTTTAATGTGCTGAACAAATCCTTGTCAGAGGCAACTTTGAAAGTCTCAGCTAGCTCTTTGGTAACTAAATTATTGAGTTATTACTGAAAAAGAATACAGTTAGGGTGCTTTAAATCAGCAGATTTGAAAACTGAGAAAGTGATCTGAAATTGAATGCTCTTCCTTATTAATATTCACTACAAAGATCTTTTCAGTAACTTCCAGTTGTAACGTGTCACAGAGCTCTGCATACAGTGAGCTTATGCAAAACTTGGTGGGGTTTTTTGTCAAATTTGTGAACGGTGAAATAGTTCTGGCAGTTTTACTGGCTCCAGGACTCTGCTTCTTCCTGCAAAAGGTGACATTCCTAGTTCATCCTTATATTTGACTGTCATTTAAAAAATAGGCTTGAAAGGGCAGGAGAGGCTTTTTAAAATAAATTGCTGCTTGATCTAAATCTGATCTAGCATACAATACCGTAGAAATAATCCTGTCTTCACTCAGGGCTGATAGAACCTTCAGGTCAGCTTGTGTGTTAGTCACTAAAAAGAGCGTCCAAGCAAATGACCAGTGGCAGCAAAAGTGAGACGAGCCAACAGTAGCACATGAGCTGTTTAATTTGCTACAGGACCTTACTGAGGTTGAGAGTTTTGCAGGATTAAAACTGTTAAATGCATGATCAAGAGAGACAGTAATGAGCTTGGGATGCAATACAAACTTTCACTGTGTAAGTTAGCAGATACATTGAAGTTGTCCATCTACAGATGGGTAATCCTACAGTTGCTGCCTTGCCTTTTTCCCCCCTTCCTTTAAGGGAGTACTTTCTGCAGACTTGCAGAATGAGAGGTGTTTTCTATCCAGTTTAGCCCATAATTGGCTCTGTAAACTGCTTAGTCAAAATTGATAATGCAGGGGGAGAAAGGAAGCAGTGAAGGTGGCATGTCCTCCTCCTGGCAGGCTGGGATGGGGGAAAGGAAGGAAGATCTGTTAGTCATGGAAGAAGGCATGACCTTTAGCCACTGCGATCCCTTGGGCCCCTGTTGCTGTACTTAAAGGATACAGTTTCTACGGAATCGCAGCAAGGGGTTAGTGAGTTCTTTGTGGAAGGCTCTCTGAAATCCCTGTTGTATGGGGGGAATGCCAGTGTTCTCTGGACCTATTGTTGCAGTCTTAAAGCCCTACAGCTTTAAGATGCTTTCTGAAGTCCCACAAAAAGACAATTCAAGAGTGGCCTTATTTTTCCCCTTGTGCAAAGATCTTCAGACCGGATTTTTTCTGTTAAGTGAATTTGAGAAACAAGCAGAGTATAGAGAGGTGAAATTGGACTGGCATAAATGAATCCTGTTTAAAATGCCTCACTTCACTATAAAAGCATTAGGTTAAGCTTGTACAGTTCTTATGTTCAGCCCTGGCCTGACGGAGGCAGACTGGGTTAGCCTTTAATTTGCAATCTTGCTGAAGTGTATGACTAAGAATTTTTGAAATTGGATGGTAAATCCTACAAAGGAGGTGGTTCAAACAAGATAGGTACATGATAAGAGGTTGAATGTACAACCTTAATTTTATGTAATGTCAACTATAAAAACATTAAAGCTTTGGAGACAGTTTTAAAGACCTAAAAATATTTAGCACCGTAATAAAAATATTGAATTGCATGATATTAAAAGTTTAATGGAAGGTCTAAACGATGATCTAAAGACCTAACTATTTGCAGGAGTTTCAGGGCCCTAGCAGGAAAGCAAGAGCCCGCCTCACTTCTTGTTTCCCAATATCAGAAGTAATGTGTCTTTGGTGAGTCTGCTGGAGTTAAACCAAACTAATTTTTATATTTTGTAAGAATGTGCAAGTTATTTAACCTCTTGCATATGGGGAAACTGAAGGAGGAAAAGAGAGGTTCTTCCAGCTTTATACAAGACAATTGTGGGTGTGTCAAGCGCTAGCATGTGTACCAGCCTGAAATACTAGGTAACTTTCGTGATGGAAGGAAACAGTGAGGCAATTCTGCTGAGGCGATCGTGATGGCTTAAGAAAACAAAACCCTGGTTGGTTGGGTTTATTTCTTCCCACTCTAGACTGCATGGCAATTTCCCACTGTATACCACAGATGCCTATTTAATCAAGGTCTTCTATTTTTTTTTTTTTTTAAATCTTAAGAGATAGTGAACAATGTGTTTGCTAGTGCCTCTATCAATGTATTTTTAGAGTACTCTGTAAAACAATGCACCACACAGAAAAATCAACTTATTCAATAGAGGTAGAGCGTTGTTCCCTTGGGTTAATAGGCAGCCTAACTGGCAGTCACTCCCTTCTGCCACGTGTTCCCTCTAGCATGTGTCAGAGGCTTACGCTGATCCTCTACCGCCCTGCAGCCACCCAGCACTAAGCTGATTTTTGCTGGATCCTCTGGTATTTCATTCCTTCAGTCCTTCCCTGTCTTCCATTCTAACCAGAGCAAATGCTTCAGAGTTTAGCAGCAGCCAAAAGCCTGCTCCTGAAATGAATGGTAATTTGAATGAATGAATGGTACTATATTCACCATCCACTTTCCCAAGCAGAATGGCAACAAAATCAAAGGTTTGGTGCAGGGGTAATCTGGATTGCATGCATTCTCTTCGCTGCTCTGCAGAAGTCTAGGAAATTTGGATTTCACTGGGTCCTGGGGGAGGAAGGGACAAGGTGGTGGAAATCAAGATGTTCCTGAGTCAGGCAATGTCGTTACACTTGCCAGTTTACACTAATTAGGTGTCTACCCTTGAATAAACGATATCTTCAGTCCTTGCACCTAAATGCATTTCCTTCTCAGGAGCATTGTTAATGATTGCTATGGACAACTGGATATTGAAAGCAGCCACTTACCATTTTGGATTAGGATTCTTGGCAAAAAGGTTTTCTGAATTCTGCATCTAATAGATGTATTTCTGATTGGAATAACTGGGGGGGGGGGGGGGGGTAGAGGGGGGGGGGGGGGTAGGGAACAACCTCCCAAAAAACAACCAGGATTTGTATTTATTCTCAATAGGTCCAGGAGTTGTGGTCCAAACTGACATGCTAGAGAGTGCCACAGTCTTGTCGTTGGGACCAAAATTCACTAGGCTTTCATAGTTATGTATTTCTGGCCATCCTACTTGGGATTAAGTAGGAAGCTCCATTTCCGTGATTGATCCTTCCATTGGAGTTGCTCCCCAAACACGAGCAACATTTTCACTCCCTGCTGGAGTAGTTTAAACTACTAGTGAACTCTTCATAGCTTCCCATGTACAGGAGTTGTCCCTGAGAGGCAATTCAAGGTTACAAATGCCTCCTGAGTAAATCCAGCACAGGCTTGGATTTATTGGAATCGGAGGCTACTCTCAAAAAAGCCTCAGTTCTTCTCTCGGATATGATTCCTCAGCAAGGCAGGCAGAGATTTCAGCACACCAGCAGCCTAACTGCTGTTCCTTAGGCAACTGTGAGACCGTGTTGTACGACTACCTCTGCGAAGGAAAGCTTTTAGTCCTTCGTGCATTCTGTAGAATGTGGTCAATAATGATGGATAGTAGCTGTATGCAAATGAAAATGCAGCTGGCAGGGTTACAAATCCTTAGGATGTGGCATTTGAAGTGAATACAAATTTGAAACAAATGTTTTCAGCTACACTAAGACCACAAGGTGCACAAGGTGTAGTTGGAGCTCCCTTTCAAGGACTTGGGCAACAAGAACAAAGGAAGGAATATTTTCAAAAAAATAGTTTGAAACTTTTCTTAGATTTCTCACTTGTATTGGGATTGAATGTAATTGTTAAGAAAAAAAGGAGATTACAAGCTGGGCCAACATAATGGGCCTGTTGCACGTTAAGTACTAAGAGTATATCTACTAATTAAGTACGTAGTATATCTATGCCAAATAATTTCCTAATTCCCACGTAATCTGCTAAAGAAACATCCCTAATCAAGTCCTGTTCCAGCTGGCTATAGCTGTCCAGAGGTATGTACTTTTTTATAGCTCTGAGCACACTTTAAACCGTCCCATGTGATATCTGAGCATTCAGAAAACAAAAAAGATGCCCTGGGCAGGCTAATTGGTTGTGTCACATTGCAGTGACTGGCACCTTGGGTTACACGTGGTCTAGGTTAAACTCGAAGTCAGCAGATGACACAAAACAGAGATTACAGTTCAAAAAGTGGCCCCCAAACATATTGCATCGTCACATCTGTAAGTGGAAGCTTGTTTAATGCTGTCTCTTGCCACTGTTAGAGAGATTTG